GTTAACTGATGGGCAGCCAATGAAATATCTGCAGGATGAGAGTAATATGCATGCTCCAACTAACTCCTAATAATATCTGAGCCACAGCATTCTGCAATCTGCACCAACTAGAGTTTCTGAATTGATTCTGAAGAGAGACAAACGTATAGTGCATTACATTAGTCTAATCTTAATGTGAAGACCAGAGCATTAGGCCACAATGGTAGAATTAGTTGCAATCAGCCCAGTTTTGCATCATGGAACACAAGCATACCCCTGCTCTTCCCTTTCTGTGGTAGTGGCTACTGGATACCTCAGTAGCACACATACTGTTCTGTCAGGTCTAGATCCTGTACAAGGACATTCAGCTCAAGTTCTCTTTTCTTGGCCCACGCAGTCCAGCTATAGACTGTCAAAGACCAATTATTCCTGAAAGATACATAAGAGAAGTTTCTTGTGCTCAGTCTTCATATTAGCATTCCATGAAGACATGAGATGATTGTGTTAAATTTAGCACAAGCCTCACCCCATCTTTAAATGAACATATTCGTATCTTCTCATAATGCACACTTCAGGATCTGAAGAGGTTTATGCACAGACAGGGTTTGTCCAATTTTTCCTTTTGGCAGCAACACCCCACTGGCTGCTACATCAGAGGATCCCTGACAGGGAACTGCCTGTGGCAGCTAACAGGTGCCAATGCATATATAAGTGGAATTTTGTAATGCTTTGATCCAGTTGTAGATGCCAGAAATTGTTCAATAGCTATATTATAAAGATTTTTTAAAATGGAGGCTCATGGCACTATAAACATCCCAGAATATTCACAATTCTGACAACTGTGCGAGCTTTTAGAACTTTGACAAGAACACCTCCAGCCCAAATCAAAGCAATTATCCCAAGATTACTGCCTATTAATTCACTTATCCTCTTCAGTGAACAAAAATAATGGGGATTAGGTTGCCTTCACCTTTGTGAAGTTCATGCTCAGTTTCAACCAGATGCTTGCAGTCATCATAATTAATTATAACAGGAAGACATACTAATTGGATTAAATTATACAAGTAACCATTTCCTTTCCTTTTGGAAGCAGATGTTCAATGTGTATCTCCCAAAGCAGACTAAGGTAGTAAATTATGAGTACCAGAAGATGAAATAGATTTCTCAAATTTCTTCTAGGTTCAAAATGATCAAAGCATATACAAAATATGGGCTTGTGCCTGCTACTTAGCCAGCAAAAAATGTATACATTTGAAATTCAGGAGCAAACTTCAGTACTGCGGAGCAATTTATTTAAGTTATTTTGAGATCAACTGCCAATATAGTGAGTTTTTCATCAAGTGCAAATAACATTCTTTCAAATACTGATCATTAACTATCCTTCTAAAAATATATATCCATACCAATCTGCATCTAAGTCATTAGTATCCTTAACAACAAGTGTTATGGATCTTTTCTAACAGGAATGGGATTAAAATATTTTCCAGTCTGATACACTGACAAAATCCCAGTCTATTGAGAAGCATATATTGCAGTTTAAGAGAGCCTGAATTAGTTTCTCCTGTTGGCTACTATTTTAAGGAACCCAAAAATAAATTGTAAACACAGAACTGTAAGAGATATTGCTACTGGAAAATGGTGGATTTTTTAAATGTTATCTTTTATGAGGCTTATCACAAAACTGATTATTTTTCTTTTTTCTCATTGCTATATACATGATTATTCTTCTGGAAATCTATTAACGAAGTTTCACTCTAAGCAACACACTGACTCAAATTTATGATGAATTTTTTTACTGTTTTAAAGAAGTGTCTCAAGACCCTTGGCCTGCAATACTTGCTTGAAGTAGACCCCATTGTTTTGGATTTGCTCTGATTTTCTTCTCTAACAAGCTTTGCTCAGTTAGTTCTGAGCTCAACTCATAAAAGCATAAATACTATATTGGGATTAATTTGTCTTCTGCAGACTAAGAGTTTCCTGAATATCTTGGTCCTCAGCAGGACACTTTCTACAGTTGCTCAGATTTGTTTTGATGCAACCGAGAACTATTCTTGATTCTGCTTTTAATTTAAACAAAGAAGGTTATAGATGACCATTCTTTTTCAGATGTCATCCAAAACAAAAACACAAAGCTTATTCCAATGGGAAACAAATTTGAAAGGCTGCAAATATTCAAACAATGCTAGTACTGCACTAGGATTTTTTAAATGAAGATTTCAACACAAATTTGAAAAGGTAAAAGGTAAACGTTTTCCCTGCTTGAAAGCTAGTTGAATCTGACTCTAGGGGGTGGTGCTCATGTTTCCAAGCCGAAGAGCCAGCGCTGTCCGAAGACATTTCCATGGTCATGTGGCCAGCATGACTAAACACCGAGGTGCACGGAATGCTGTAGTTTGGCAGTTTGCGACCCTAGTGCTGTGTGACGGAGTGAATTCCTGCCAACCTGGCAGTTCAAAAGCAAGAAATTGCAAGTAGAAATTGCACTTTGGTGGGAAGGTAATTTGAAAAACAAATCTGTAAAACATAAGCACATAAGAAGAGCCCTGCTGGATCAGGTCAATGGTCCATCAAGAAGAGAAGAAATTGTATTTATACCCTGCCCTTCACTACCTGAAGGAGTTTCAGAGAGGCTTACAATCTCCTTTTCCTTCCCCTCCCCACAACAGACTTCCTGAGAGATTTCTTTTGAGAACTGCCCTCAAGAGAACAGCTCTGGAAGAACTTGTGACTGACCCAAGGTCACACCAGCAGCTGCATGTGGAGTGTTGGGGAATCAAACCTGGTTCTCCCAGATTAGAGTTCACACTCCTAACTACTACACCATCCTGTCTCACACAGTGGCCAACCAGTTCCTCTGGACGGCCAACAACAGGGCATAGAGGCTGAGGCCTTCCCCTGATGTTGCCTCCTGGCTCTGAAATTCAGAGGATAACTGCCTCTGAATGTGGAGGTTCCCCTCAGTCACCATGGCTGGTAGCCATAGATAGATTCTTGAAGGATAAGTCTAATTCCCTTTTAAAGCTGTTTTTTCCTGAGGTCATCACTATGTCCTCAGACAGCGAATTCCACATTTTAAACACTCTCTGTGTAAAGTAGTATTCCCTTTTGTTCATCCTGAACCTACTGCCAATCAGTTTCATTGGATGCCCTCAAGGTCTAGTATTTTGGGAGAGGGAGAAAAAATTCTCTTTGTCAACTCTCTCCATCCCATGCATAACATATTTTGAAGACTGTGATGCATTTTAACTATGTATCAGCTTTTAGACTGTTCTGTTTGTCACACTGTAACTGATCCACAATATTCACATAGTCATTTGTGTCTGACATTTTCACATAAAAGCTGCTTTAACTGCAGAAGACAAAATAAAGGGGTGTTTGCAAATACCACCTTCTGTATTCCCTGTATGCCACATCTCATATTGCTCCAAAAGAGTTAGATTTATACCCCGCCCTTCACTCAGAGCGGTTTACAATCTCCTTCCCTTCCTCTCCCCACAATAGATACCCTGTGAGGTAGGTGGGGCTGAGAGAGTTCTAAGAGAACTGCTCTTGAGAGAACAGCTCTGAGAGAACTGTGACTGACCCAAGGTCACACCAGCAGCTGTATGTGGAGGAACGGGGAATCAAACCTGGCTCTCCAGATTAGACTCTACTGCTCTTAACCACTACACCACGCTGGCTGTATTGAGAAGAGCAAGGCTGCAAAGATCTCTTCCATGACAAATTCGTGGAAGGTCAGCACATTCAGTGCCTACTTGCTCTAATGACTAAGTGGATCCTCCATGTTCAGAAACAGCAACCCACTGAATAACATCACAGGGGCGGGGCAGGGAGACTTGGCCTCCACACCTTGATTGTAGACACTCTAGAAACATCTGGGTGGTATTCTGAGAAACAGATCCTGGAATAGATGGACTATTGGCCAGATCTACCACAGCTGCTCTTATAATCTTTGTTTGTTCCATTTGCAGAAAGGCTGGATCCAACTCAATGCCTCTTCAGCCCCATCTCCCACGCTCCTAAAAAGCCTTACAGGGCTTTTCTCAAGAGCAAAACTTTCAGCCCAACCCTGTGCACATTTACTTAGAACAAAGCTCCACTTAGTTAAGTAAAACTTACTCCCAAGAAAGCATACAGCTATAGGAAGTTTGAAATGCTATAAATAAATCAGTTGCAGTAAGTGGAAATGCTGCAGTAACCCATCAAACTTAACAGCTGATGCAGATCCTGCCATTCCACTGATACAGAAAATTCTCAAACCTTCCTTTTGTCCAAATATTTTAAATTCACATGTTATTAGGAAAAATTTGGGGGCTAAAGGATAATGCAAGCTAAGTGGTGTGAGTGAAAGACAGGTTAAATTCACATCCAATACATATGTCAAAACTGCCTTGTTTTCAAAGGGACACACATTGCAATGCTCATTTCTGGTACATATAGACACCCCACATGTGCTGCCCTCTACTAAGGACTGGAAGAAACTTAAATTTCTTATCAGTACTGCCCCTTTTGGTGGGCTTGAGGCAGGAGATACCAATGTGGCCACTTTCTTATCAGTTCTCTGTGCTGGCCTGTACCACATGCTGCTCCTACAACATGCACAACTTTGCATAACTACTTTTCCAGGTAGAACACAACCCTCTATCTGCAAATATTAGCTTGGTCCCCACCTACAGTTTCCACAAGCACAAAAGAGAGCAATTTTCTCTAGTTTCCCCCTCCTACAGTAGCCCCAAACACAAGCTGAAAAGTAGCCCCTAGAGAATGGTTGGCTTTCACGAATAGCTTGTGGGAAATCAGCAAAAACTTTCCCCACCCAAACCCATGGAAATTCTAAGCAGGGTCCAAGCCAATTTTAAGAAAAGCAAGGGAATACAAGCATTCTGTAGCCCTTCCATGAACATCCTATAACATTAGGAAACAGGGACTGCAGTTTGTACACATGCTTAGCAGTAATCAGAGACCTGGCAGCTTATCTAGTCTGATTAATAAACTAATGTCTCCAAACAGATTCAACTTACCCCTTCAAAGACAGAGGACTTGCTCTGTGTCGTTATATTGGACTTCATGGCTAAAAGGGAAAATAAAACTCCAGAAAAAAATGGGGGAGGGAAACAAGATTGAATAAGAGACAGACAGGACCTAGGTAGAACTTGGATGTTCAAGAGTAAGTTTTAATTGTAGGCATATTATTTGGGGAAAGGGATTGCTTGGGGCTCAGATTTCACCTCCACTTGGTACTCAGTTTGTGACCTTGGGCAAGTCACTGTTTTCTCAGCTTTGCTAGTATATACTCAATAGGAAAACAACCCTGAATGTAAGATGAACCCCCAAATGTTATTACAAAATTGACTAGATGTAACTGTAACTTGTATGCAACTGTAAATGCAGTACTTTCTATAAAATGGATACTATGTTGTACCAACAAACAAATGGATAAATGGGTAGTATGATACCTGAAACTCAGATCCCACTTTTGCCATGCTGTGCATTTGGTCATGAAAAT